GAAGGGGCAGAGAGAGAGACAGAATCCAAAGCAGGCTCCAAGTTCTGAGCTGTCAGCACAGAACCTGACATGGGGCTTGAACCCACAAACTGAGATCATGACCTGAGCTGAAGTCGGACAACTTAACTGACTGAGCCACCCAGGCACCCCAGGAGTAGGACTGATCTTAAACACAAATCTCATCCTGTCACCCTCTTCCAGAAAAATCTGCCATTGTTCCTTTTGTAAAAACCAAATCTCATCTCCCCAGCATGTTCTCCATGCCCTTCTCCCCTTCCCCTCAGGGTGTTAAAGCAACCTGGACTTTCTTCAGTTCCTCCAGAATATCATTATTCCTCTTGCTTTAATGCCTTAACACACAATCCTCCTTTGGCCTGCAATGTTCTTCATCCTTTATCACCTAGCAAAACCATACTTTTCTTATACATCTCAAGCTTAATTTTCACTCAAGAAAGGTTTCTTTAATTCTTCCAGATTAAACCCCATTATTTGTTTTCATAGCACCCTGTAATTTTCCTTTTTAGTACTAATCAGAAATTATACAAATAGTTGTGAGTATTTGATTATAAGTCTTGCCCTTGTTAGACAGTAATTCCTGTTAATTATTTAGGGACCATGCATGTTTTATTATTCACTAGCATGGTACTCAGTAGAAAATAAAATAATGAATAGACAGGCCATAAATACTAAAGAAATCTATATATTTATACAATATATAAACCATATTATATTATCTAAATAGAATATCTATATTAATCTACAAAGAAAACTGCCAAATAATAATGCCTATTTTTTCAGTGTCAATAACCTTAAAGTATAGAGATTCTTAAAATATTTTGCTTTAATTGTACACATTAAAAAATACAATGTCAGAGATTCTTCACTTTATGAATAATTTGCCAGCACAGGGATCAAAGCTACTCCATTTTAATAAATAATGGAAGGAAAAGAAGGGAGAGGGAGAAGGGAGGAGGAGAGACGAGAAGGAGGGAGGAGGGAAGGAAAAGCTGTATAAAAATAACTGCTTCTAAAATATTAGTAATAAAATAACTTCAAAAAATCACTTTAAAAGTTTCAAAGGTCTTTTCAGAGATCCAGATATACAGAATTGTAGTAGATTATAATTATACATAGTAATACATACATTATATATTACATAGTAGAAAGTATATTTTAATCACACACATTGTCCAGTTAAATGTGAAGATTGAAAACTGTTGAGTTTTCCACATTACAAACTTGTAAATGGAGACATTTTGAGATCTAGAACACAAGTATAACACTTCACTGGGCAAGAAAGAATAACATTATTCCAAGCAAAATGAACGCTAGGTGTCAGGGCCTTAAGGCAAGAGGAACAGGGACACTGAGGAACAGAAGGAGGCTAGAGCACTCTGAGGGGAGAGGCGGGTGTGGAGAAGTAGGATTTTAGGTCTCATCCTAAGAGAGATGAACCATGAACTGAAAAGATCAAAATCACTGAACATTAAAGCACAGAGCCAAAGCAACTTTGAAAAATTTTTTAGAATTTCAAAAACTGACATTATCCTTTGTCTATCCTGAAACATCCTAACCTGACCAATAAAGTGACAGATATTTTCATCATACTTTAACTATTTAAAAACAGAATAATATATGTGCTGCTGTGAAAAGAAAATGTAGGGTGCAGCTCCGAGTTAACACGGCATGTATGCCAGAGATTCTTCCGAAGGCCTGCTCATAAGGCTGGCTCGTGCCTGGATTTCAGGACGGTCCCCGCGATTCTCGGAACGGGGAAGAGGGGCTCACTATGCCTACACCGTTTGTACAAATAATATGGTTTATGCTGAACCCTTGCTTTCCTTCTGGGACTCTAGAATTTTTGTACACACCACCAGACAGAAGCTGCTTATCTGGCCAGCTCCCAGGAAAAACCCTGGTTGCTGAGTCTTTAATGAGAGTCCCTGGTAACATCTCAAATGTGCTATAACAACTCCTTGCTAGGAATTAAGTTGTCTTGTAGGACTCCACTAAGAGAGGACTCTGAAGCTTATGTTTTGTCTCCCCTGGACTTAGCCTCTTGTGAACGCCTTTTCCCTTTGCTGCCTCCACTTTGTATCCTTTAGCTGTTAATAAATTAGAGCAGTGAGTCCTCCTAAAGAAATACTGAACCCGGGGAAGGTCTGGGGAACCCTCACACACAAATTACATACGGACCCATGGAAAGGTTTAGTTTCATTAGGGAATTATAACTACATTCTTCTAATCTTTAATAAAGTATAAAACAGAAAAATAGCATCTCCTCCATAGTGAGAATGCCAGCATTTACCTGGTGGTACTCTGGCATTTAGGTTGTTAAGTCTGATTTAATTATACATTAACATACCCCTAGGAATCACATTTTAGAATATGTCAAGTTTCCCTAATAAATGTTTACTTATAAAACAAGAGTACTTTTCCTCAATAGCCATTGGGCTATCTGTGGGTATTACATAATAACATAGCATTAATGTACTCAGCATAAAAAGGCAAAAACATTTTTATAAACTCTGAAGTAGAAACAGAAAAAACAAAAAGAAACAACAAAAAAACCAAAAACCATCTGAGGTACCTGTCAGTTTAATATAAACCATGTGCTAAATGATTATGAATTAATAACAAGCTCAGGGCACAGCTACATTTTTAAATCTCTGAAGGTCAGAGCCATTGATTACTATTAAATATCTTTTATTTTAGACTCTGGCATTTATAATGTCTCATGCTATTAGGAAAATGAGGCTGGTCACAGTTACAAACTTGATTTTAAAAGCTGTTTCAGAGAGGAAGAAGCTGGGTATGAGTTTGGACCCTTTTTGGCCTGGTTTTGAATTAATAAGCACTTCCCTCACTTAGCTGCACATTTCTCGCTTACTGATAAAATGAACTGATTATTCCATGGAATTTAAAATAGGCTGCTGAATGTCACTTCAAGAACTATTAGCATTGCCGCAAACATGTTCAGAAACAGAGCAGATAGTAATGAGACAAGACACATCACTGTAAGAAAGCAAATTAATTTAGTGACAGCTTATTGAACTTCTATGTGATCATCTCTAGGTATGCCTGCTTTTGTGAATAGGAATTGAATGTATCTTTTCAGCAATATAAAAACATTTCTAAGTTGCTGGAATTTTCATAAAATAGCACCTCACTGAACATTTCTTTGAAATTACATTGTTCGGACCACTTCACATATTTTACTCTTCAGAAGTGTATTTGTATGGAAAAATAGTTTTTATTTTTTTGTCACAATGTGCTATAAAAATGATGCTTCCGGTAAACTGGTAAAAGTGTTACAAGGATCCATGCCAAGAAGTTCTTGAATTTGCTTCAGGTGTGGGATTAACCAATTAAGTTAACCAAACACAGTCTACTAGGGATGACCTTAAGTATGGAAGCAGTTCACTGGGATTGTTAACCCAGTCTGGAGCGCTTTTCTAAAACACAAATCTTACTGTCATCTTCGTATTAAGCAAACAAACCAACAAACCAAAAACAACCTTAAACATCTCAGTATCTTCAGTAGAAGACAAAGTACAAGCTCTTCATTCTTAATAACACCACCCTTCACAACTGGGCCAACCTCACGTACCTTCCTCTCCTTTCGTCTTCCCCAGGAGGCCCTACAATCTTGCCACGCTGATATTATTTACCTCTCCCCCAAGAAACCTACTTTTCCAGGTCTCCCTGCTTGTTTGTCTGTTGCTTCCTCCTGCTTCCTTTTCATTTTCAGCTGTACTCCTGCTCAGTTTTCAAGTTCCAGCCTGTCTCTTCCCCTGAGAAATCTTTTCCGATGCTTCTAGGCAAACTGAATTACTCCTTTCCTCGGGTTCCATAATGCTTTTTATTCACCTCTGTGGCATATTTCCTCAGTTAGCAGAGTACCCTGCACATACTACATGTCCAATAAATATATTTATTTATAGGAGTCTGACCAAGACACACAGACACCCAAAACTTAGTAGATAATGAGATACTCATTTCTTAAATCAATACAGATAAAATTTTAGAAACATGAATTAGTTACCAGGAATGCTGGAGTTCTTGATAAATCTCATTGACTGGCAATTTCAAGATACAATGTATTACAATTTGTAAGCATGGGAGGTTTTACTTGCAATGAAGATTTCAAACTATCAGTTCTTTTATTTTTTTAAATCACTCTTTTTTTAAAAACTAAGATATCTTTCAATTCTGTGCACGTATACCCTATTCTAATTTTTACTCTATGTTCACTGACCCTCTCTCCTCTTTATCACTGCAAGTGTGACACTTCAATTAATTTAAACCTAATTAAATGGAATCTTTAATTATTTTCATTCACCCCATACACGCTCTTTTTCAGAAAAAAGTAAACAAGAGGAAAAAGATCTGAAAAAATTTCAAAGTTCTAAAGCAAATACTAAGTATAATCTCTTACATCTTCAGAATTTGTAATACCATAAAAGAGGATTTCCTAGTGTGCTTTGGAAAACATTAACCTTTATAAATCATTTTTTAATAAAGCAGGGTCAAAGAAAAGGTATCGGCTACAATATTTTGCATTCCACTGTAGTTCATGTCATTTCAAATTAAAGGAAATCTAATCACATTTCCTAATAAGAACTTTAAACCTTTATATCTTAGTGAGAAGAGTGTAAGATTAGAATCACAAGTTTCATTTTCTCATAGAACAGATTTAGGTAAGTCTAAATCTACAAAATGAACTTTTAAAAATACTTAATCATCAAAAAGCAAATCACGGTCTAACCTCAGAGAAAAAAACATATATTAAACCTGGGTCTTTAGGAAGGCAAACCATGATCTTTAAGCAGAACTCTTCATGAAAAGTTACATGGAGTCCTTAAATCATAGATTAGAAATTACTTTTGGAATCACTGAAGTCTTTACAAATGTTCATTCTCCTATGAGCAAATGAGTCAGCTACTTCTCCAGTGACCATGCAAGGACAGTCTGTTGGAAACCAATTAAAGGGCAGATACCTTTATCGGAGTATGTGTGTTCTAATGCATGAAGATCAGGCAGTAGGTGAATACAGTTTATGCAGCAGTAGGTGAAGAAATCCAGGATGACTACTTTTCCACACAGATCCTTGTAGACAGAAATAGGCTCTTCTGTGTTCAGCCATTCTAATCCTGAAGTTTACACAAAATAAATTATGATTAAAAGAAAAGGCAAAGATTATTTATCTAAAACTTTCCATTAAAACATAAACCATTATTTCTAAGGAGGCGATGGGAGAGTGGGGCAAGATGGGAAAGATGCTATCATGGAGCAATGTGCAAATATAGTAAGAAAAGTTACTAATTCTTTCAGAAATAGAATGGTCTCTGTGTGAAAGAAAACAAGATCAACACAGGTGAAAACAAGAGTAAATATCAAATATTAAGGGGACCTATGTACACAATCGGGTTCAAATGAGCTTTTTAGAAAGAAGCCTCAATCTTAAGAAAAGCAAGATAGAACTAAATTGAAAAAGGAACAAAGTGTTAAAATATAAAGATAATGCTCTGGATTTGAAGCAGACCTTAACCACAAAATATTTCAAATGCAAAGTTAAGCAAAATACACTATTATAGATTTCATGGAAGCAACATTAATATTGATGAAGAATGTGTTGGCTTCCCTCCAAAGAAAAATGGAATCTCATTAATCTGTACTTTTGTAAATCAGAATTTATAATTACTTGAGCAGGACTTACAATTTTAACTACACACTATACAGATTTTGTTAGATATTAAAAGTACAGCATCTCTATTTAACCAATTTAGAAAAACAAAGATAATGAGCTTTTTGTTTTACAAGTAAATGCAGCCACTAGAACTAATTAATTTAATTATACCTTGAAGCAGGTATTTGGAAATATTTTACAGAAATTGAAAGCCAAAGCTGGGTGGAAGAAGTGTGTAATAACAGCTAATGACTAGTAACAGTAACTAGAGATACTCAATTTAAACAAAATTCTAAAAAAAAAAAAATCTGCAAATCAAACTAGCATGTCTGACTTAATAGTCCAACTTAGTGAGGTTTTAGGGGAGAGTGAGCTCTTAATTATGCATTTTAATAAAGTATTAATTGTACAGCAGATCAAGTAATCACATAAAACCTCAACCTAATGTATATTTCATATCTTAATGGCAAAATATTTATGAATCAGTCTTTTAAATTTATTTTTTGTAAATAGTCAGGAGTGACTTAGATTGGAGGGTATGGAAAGTATTAAATGTTACTGCACTTAACCATGCTTAATAATAAATTTTACAATAACAATTACAATGAATATAATTTTTAAAAGCTGCCAATGTTTGGGATGCCTGGGTAGGTCAGTGGGTTGAGGGTCCAACTCTTGGTTTCCACTCAGGTCATGATCTCACCATTGGTGAGTTCGAGCCCCGCATCAGGCTCTGTGCGGACAGTGTGGAACTCTTGAGATTCTCTCTCTCCCTTCTCTCTTTGGCCCCTTCTCCACTTAGTCTCTCTGTCCCTCTCAAATAAAGTTTAAAATAAGCTAACATTTATTGAGCTCTCCTATTAACTAAGACCTTTAGGTATATACCTCCAATCCACATAATTAAGCTGAAAGGTAAATACCAGTTCTATTTTATAAGGTAGTAAAGCTTGGAGAAATCAAGTAAAATCATGCAGCTAACAAATGGAATAACTAGGACATGATCCCAAATCTGTCTGATTCCATCCATTACACCAGTTTCCCATAAACACCTACTTCTTTTAAGAAATGAACAAAGCATACAGTTTCAGAGATAGTTATGGTTATGACTTGATTATAGTTCACTGATAAACCAAGGAACAACTCTTACCTAGTACCCTGAGCTCAATCAGCTAGAGCAGAAAATCTGACTATGTCAAATACGAAGCCTGAATATTTTATTATATTATTTATGAATCACTAAGGTCAAATCTCATGGTAATAAAATACACCCACTTGTAAATATAAGCCAGACTAGAACATAAAAACATTGCCCCAAAACCTCACTGGTGACTAGTTTATAGCAGTACACTATGTAACTTCTTACAACTTTTTTTTTTATAAACACGCACATATGTATACAATCTCTTAAAGTTTCTTTGATGGGAAAAGCAGTCATGCACCCAATTGTTTTGTAATAATTCCACAATATTTCAAATCCAGTTTACGATTAGCAACAGGGAAAAAAAAAAAAAAAAAGCATTTTTGAGGTGGTAGCAAAAGGCTTGGAGAGACACAAGACAGTGGTCAGAGGCAAAGTTCCGATATCCCTGCCGGGAGATACCGAACCCTGCCGTATCCAACCGATTAACTATACATGTGGTTTCAGTGTCGTGCCAGGACGCATGCCAACACCAACAAAACAATGCCAGTGTCCCAACCACAGAAGGGAAAGTACGGTTTCATCTGTCGCAGCGAGATGTGCTGCCCAAGTAGCACTTCGGCGAGTATCAGTTCCCGGGTGTTCCAAGCACTCAAAGAACCGGGATTCAAACCCTGGAGATAGGTCGTAATTGACTCAGATTTAAAAAATGGCAAATGTCATGACTTTGAACGGAGAAGGGTGGCACCGCTGATACTTGCCAATCTGGGGTCTGTAGGGTCTGACTTGGGCAGTTATTGGTTGTGAAGCCTTAAGGAGGTTAGTTAGCCTTCCTGTGCCTCAGTTTCCTCAACTATAAAGGAAGTCTGTTAAGAAGCCTCAGAGGGTGGTAGAGAAGATTAAATAGTCCCCTGAAGTGATGACAACGGTGTGTGGCACAGAAGTGATCTGTGTGAAGATGAGGCACAGCGGACGGCAATGACGATGCTGGGCAACCAGATGCAACGACAGGATGGCACGGACATTTCAATCATCGCCACCCGGACCCACTAAACATTCAGGGAATGTCTGCCAAGTTAACACAAGGCCCGGGCAGGGGCTCGGGATACGGAGGCGAAAGTGCACGTCCCCGCGCGCCAGAAAACCACCCTCGGCCGCCGCTCCGGGACCCAGGGAAGCGGCGCCGCGGGCGAGCCGCCCCCGCGCGGCCGCACTACCCCGCCTCGGCCCCCGCTTCAGGGGAGGGCACAGTCCCCGAGGAAGGGGAGGTTCCGGGAAGGGTCCCCACCCCAAAGCCTGCCCCTCACCTTCCGGAAACTCGGGCACTGACAAGTCCTGCTCCCAGCCGTCCACCTTCTGGAGATACTGGTAGACCAGGCTGTCCTTCTCCTCCTGGGTGACGGCGTCGAGCAGGGCGTACTCCAGCGAGGTCTGAGCCGGGAGCAGGCCCGCGAGGCTGCAGCCCCGGGCGCCGGGGGCCGCCATGTTCTCTCCGGACGGTCCAGAGGCGGCAGCCGGGCCCGCGGGAGGGTCTCGTGCGGGGAGAGAGGAGGCGCTTACAGTCCTGTGGTTTCAAATCGGCACATTCGCTTCACTCTCCGCCAGCCCCTACTCCACGCAAACGACACCTTTTCTTTTGTAATCATTCATTCCGATGCTAAGGTACAAAGTGTTGCAATTCCCGGGCCCGTAATTCAGCCACCGGTCCCAACCACCCCGCCCCTTGCAGAGCTTCTCGGCACAGCTGAGCCTGGACATTCGGAGCGCCAGATTCAGCATGGAGAAAGCCTGTGGGTCAGCGTTCTGGAAGCTCTAAGAAAACCATTCCCCCCCCCCACACACACGTCACTTTGGAAATTAGAGAGGTTTAGAACAAAAATAAGGTAAAATAAAATAAATCCGTAGGACTTAGAAGGACCCAAACTTTTTCGAAGTCCCGCCCTTAGCCCAGGGTCAGCCGATTCGACACAGCAGTGGCAACAGGACTCTGTTCCCGCCAAGACACGAGAGGTAAAAGGGGGTGGGGGGGGGGTAGGGATAGCCTCCTGGGAGAGATTTTCTTCAAGTTCGGAGTGACAGGCAATGGCTTTAGCGTATACACAGATACGGTATTTTGTCGCCCCGCCGTGCTGAAAGTGCGAGCGGGAACAGACTGTCAGCGGGGCAGGGGGAGGGGGGAGCCGAGTGCAGCGGACGCAGCTGGAGCTGCTCCCAAGGGTGTGCGGGCGGCAGGTGGGCTGCGGCGAGGACCCCGGTGGGCTGGGCTTCCGACTTCGGAAGCGGAGGGCTCTGACGGCTTTTATAGAGGCGGCTGTGCTAGCAGCTCACCCTCCCCCTGCTTGGGAGGATAGGCCCCACTCACTGGCCTTGCCGCCTTCTAGGTTCAAAGAGAAGGTAGAGCAGGTGGGAGGCATCAGGCCGGGAACGTTGCCTTCGAGGCTAGTGGAGGGAGAGAAGGCTGGCCTCCTCTAGGGCAGACCACTTCTGCAGTCTCGAGTTAGAAGTGTGGGTGGCGTCGGCGCAAGCACAATTTCACATACTTGAATTTTGTTTGTTCACTGTGCAGTGTGTGTGCGTTGCTGCTGGAGGAAGATACTGGACTGACCCAGGAAACTGAAGGGGTTGAATATCCAAGAGTCACACATAAGGGCAATTTTTACCCCCTGAATCCCACACTTCTTTGATTATGGTGTGACTGTGGTGGTACTGGTGAGCCGAGGCAGCCGTTTAATGTTTCGAAAACCTGCTAAGCCCATTGCGCAGGGACTGTGTTGCATTTGTGAATTATTGGGACAATTGTCCAGTTGAAAGGGAACTGAGGAGCTTTACAACAATTTTACAAAGCTCGCTCTAAGATTAAGCTGTTGAACTTATACTTCCCATCAGTATTTAATTTTCAAAGTATTACTGATTCTTAATTTTATGAATCAAGTGCTTGGAAAGGCCAAGTCACAGGTGAAATAGCAGCCACAATGGGAAACTTCTAAATGCTACCCCTGTGGTAGATTCTCTTAATTTTATTGTAGTCTAAATAGAATAGCATGTGTTCTCAGGTATAAGGTTTGTAGTTTGCCAGTATATCCACTGCCAAAGCTTTAGATTCCCATCGAGTTAGTGGGGTTTTTGTTACTTTTTTTTTTCGCAGCAAAATATTTCCATTTAAAAATTTTGTAACAAGACATAGATTCTCAATCTAAGAATCCTTTTGCCATGTTAGAAGATGCTTTTTTGGAAGAAGACATCTGGGAATACAAATCTAAAAGAAAACCGAAGCCGGCACATACAAATAATTGCTCTGAGAATACTCCAAAATCTGTTGAAAAACCAACAGATGGAAAATACCAGTCAAAACGAAAGAGACGTAAAAAAGGAAATGTAGACGCTAACGAGAAGACACAGGACCCTGAAATGTGCCTTGGAGAAACCGGTAGTCAGACTTCTGCAGCTTCTAGTCAGAATTCTAGTTGTGGGGATGGTATTCAGCCATCCCAAGACCAGCAGGCCACTCCAGGAAAGCGCTGTAGGACCCACAGAAACAAACACACATCTCCAAAGATACGTCCAGTGTATGATGGATACTGTCCAAACTGCCAGGTGCCTTTTTCTTCATTGCTAGGTCAGACACCCCGATGGCATGTTTTCGAGTGTTTGGATTCGCCACCAGTCTCGGAAACAGGTAAGACTACAAAACAGATAGTAATCTTTAAATAGTCTAAAAGATCTGCATTAGCCAGAAAAATCAGTCCAGTGGAACAGGCAGGCAAGCAGGAAACTGCAAGGGAGAGGAGACAATGAAGTATAAATGACTTACCCTAGGAGGAAACAAAGAAACCCTTCTTAAGAAGAGTAAAAAGACAACAGCCAATGGTATAATTTTGTAAAGAATGTTGCAAACTTGAAAACAGTTGAAATGCAGTTTATTATTTGGTAGAGACTCCTAAACATTTCCATTATTTTTCGTAAATGTTAATTGAGCACATACTGTGCTAGATACTTTCATGCTGTTGACTTTCTTGACTCTCACAATGACTGCAAAAGGTAGGTGGTATTGACATTTTATAAATGAGCACTTTTTTAAAGTTTTATTTATTTAAGTAATCTGTACGGCCCCACGCGGGGCCCGAATTCATGACCCCAAGATCAGGGTCACATGGTCTTCTGATGAGCCAGCCAGGCACCCCTATAGAGTAGCAGTCTTGAAAGTTAAACTGCCCATTTGTGATCTTTTGTGAAACAGAAATTTAAAGAATTATGCATATAGTCAAGTCTTTTTTTTTAAATTAATTTATTTATTTTGAGAGAGCATGCACACAAGCAGAAGAGAGGCAGAGAGAAAGAGGGAGAGAGAATCCCAAGCGGGCTCCGCACTCCAGCTTTGGGCTTGAACTCATGAACCATGAGACCATGACCCGAGCCGAAATCAAGAGTCGGGATGCTCATTTTGTGAGCCACCCACGTGCCCCTAGAGTCAAGTCTTCTAAATGTGATTATGTTGGATTTGTCATGGCATTGTACAGAAAGAAAAACTGGGAAGGAATCTCGGGTTTTTAAGATTCTAATTTAAAATGTGCCAAGTATAAATGAAGTAATGCTATGCTTTTATTATCTTTTAAGATACATAATGTCATGTTTAACGTAGGAAGTCCTACTTGGAGTATGTGAAGAATGGGTTATGATGATTTGTGTACCTCAAAGTTATCATATAACCATATATAGATTTCTAAATCTCAAAGAATTAAAATTCAGCAAAATAAAAATACTACTCAGTATGGCTTATATGTTATGTATGAATCAGAAGACATTTTATTATTAACCTCCAGTTATTTTAAAGTACTGCATGAAGATGCAAAAGAACTTTAAAAAAAATTGGTTTTAGCTTTTTTGATAAAGTGAATGCCTTATCAAATGCTGGTAATGTGCTTTAAAGTGGCTTGAAATTCAGAAATGGGAGCAGTGAGTGCCTCAGGGTGAAATGTCTTATGATGAAACACCTCAAAGAGGTCTTTCTTTTGGTTTTTCACTGCCTAAACTCCTTTGAATAGAATCTCAGATGGACTCTTCTTAAATTGAATTCTGTTCCATAACAAATACTTCAAGGAGGTGGTTTTAAATTAAGCAATGAGGTCTTCTAGTTTAATGTAACATCTTTTTGGGGTGGGAGAGGGGGGTCCTTTTTTTATATATAAACCTAGAAATTAACATATAAGGGGATTTGCCACGATGGTTTACAGAATCTTTCTCAATTATAATAGTGTGATGGGGAGTACTCTCCAGATTAGTATGAAAGCCTTCTTATTCACCAGTTTATCAAATTGAATTTCAAATCTTAGAATCTAAAATAGTCAGTGTATGAACAGCTGTTACTAATTAAGACTGTTAGTACTCTTATCCTATGCAGTATGAATATTAAAAAATGGACCCTAACTGGGTACTTTAGTTGTCCCAAATCCATGTTATTTGGTAAGATAAAAATTGGGGTAGAACTTTAGTTCTCTGGGAGACTTACTAGTCTTTTTCACTCTTTATTGCCTGAGCAGTAGTGGGCTATTCAGCACTGTAAATACCTCATGTAAAGCATGAACAGCATTTTGAAGGAGCTCATATTTGTGAGAGTTACTTGGGGTGGAGGCTGGGGGGAAGGTATTAGTCTTAGAATTTTTTTTTTTTAAAAAGATGATCTGAAAAGAAACTTTAAAAATATTTGATTTAAAAAGAATACCTAGTACCTTGGAAAACCATGCCAGATTATTTTTATTTTATGCAGGATCTTTTGATGGTATAAATAAAGATAGCTATGGTCCTAAGGCTTCAAAGTAGGACTGATTGCTTTTCACTTATGTGTGACTCTGTCTGTGCTTTGATCCACTATTACTTTTTACTTTGTTAAAATTTTCAGAGTGTCCTGATGGTCTTCTATGTACCTCCACAATTCCTTCTCATTTCAAGAGATACACTCACCTGCTACTGGCTCAGAGCAGAGCCAGCAATAGGCCTCTCAGCAGCCCACCACCTGCGTCAGGGGGTTGTTGCAGTGAGACTAATTCAGGCTTCCTCTGTAGCCTTGAGGAAAGATGGTCTTTGCATCAGAAACAAACGGAAAACGTAAAAAATGTTTCAACTCCCCCCTCACCGGTGACACAATGCCTGAAGAAATCCCGGTCTCCCACTGAAACCAGTACAAAGATTTCTTCTTCTTGGACAAATCTCCAAACGTCCCAACAAACCCCGCGACTTCCAGAACGTGTTAATGATGACACACTGGTTGGAGTTGGTTTGCCTCTTGCTGAAGAATTAAGCAGCCAGAACAACTCAGAACGCACACCCTTGCCAGCACCAGAAAGTGACTTTAGCAGCTATGAAATCTCTTACTCTCCACTTCAAAGTGATGAGGAAATGTACGATCTAGATGAAAAGCTAGGTGATTCACAGCAGGAGCTGCTGTTCACCGAAAGCTCTAAAGATGGCAGCCTGGAAGAAGGTGACACCAGCCCTACTTTGTTTCAGAGCCTCCATGGCTCCTCACTGAAAGACCAGCAGGAGAGTGGGCCCGACATGCCCTGCTTCTTAGCTCAGGACAGACATGAGGAAGCACTGTATAAATACAGCACGCTAACTGGTCCATCTCAGCTTCTTTTCCAGAATAACAGTATTACTTTGTGTGATGGCAGAACATACACTGGTGATGATTTTGTGCTGTTTCCATCGGCATTAGCAGAGGGCCTCACTTCCAGTTATCAAGCTGTCATGGCAAAACCTGGCCAGCCTAAATGTCAGTCAAATAAACGGAAACAGGTCGCTGAAGAATCAGCTGTTTGCAATCAGCTCTCCCTTCCATTACTTAATAGTGAAGTACCAAAAGCTTTTGAAAGCCAAGGAGAAGGGGATCGTTCTTTCCATCCAACCCAAGGTAAAATTAGAAAATCCTCAAGTAAGAACTTCAGTGGTATGAACAATGCTAACTGCACATGTGTCTGCGGAAAGGCATTAGGGGGTATACAGGGCAGTAAAGGTACAATTCCAAATATAGAGAAATCTAGTATGACTGCTGCAGCTGGGTCTCTGAAAATGTCGCCGTCTGGTCCAAAGTGTCCTGCGACACAGTCTTCCCCCAAGGTAATGAAACAAATGGATATAGGTGTTTATTTTGGGCTGCCACCCAAAAGAAAAGAAGACAAGTTGCTGGAGGGAAGCACAGTAGAAGGGCTGAACTTACATCCAGCTGTGAGTCCTAAGGAAAAGAGGTCCTGGCGGCGGCAGCAGCAGCGCAAGAGGAAAGCAGAAAGATCTTTAAGTGATTCAGAATTCGATGCGAAGAATTTAAGCGAGACGCCACCCTCTGTGGAATTTGAGCAGTCACCGCATCAAAGAAAGCGACCGAGAAAGTCAGATTCACTACAGGCAGGAGCACATCAGAAGAGGTCTCATCACCTAATTAATGGGACAGAATCTGAAACCGTCAATTTAAGGAAGGATAAAGTCTTCAAAAAATCAGCTGGCGGCAGGCAGCAAAGAGGGAACACAAAAATCCCAGAGTCACCTAATGCAGGACAAGGAAGAAAAAAGACATGTCCATTCTATAAGAAAATACCTGGTAAGTTGAAATGCCAATGTTTAGTATATCTACAAAGAATTGACTTAAAATTTCATGTTTGTTCCCCAGGTTGTGTGTCTGTGTTTGTATAAACCAATTTGTATATGTATTCCTTTTGTTTTTTATGATAATTCATTGACCTGTAACTTTTGTTTTGCCTACTTCCATGCTTTTGCCCCATTCAATGCAGCAAACTTTTATTAAATGTAAATCTATAGAAATATCTATGTACAAGATACTATACTAGTAGATGGATATTACAGATTTGACACAGGTGAGTAAAGGTCCACTTCATATGGAAGGGGGGAAGCCTCTCTCTGTAAGGAGTTATGATAAAAACAGTCTCTATGCACTGAAGAAAAATACAGAGTGCTACATAGCCTCACTGACAGAAAATTAACAAATTGCATAGGTCATAATCAATGTCAAATAGTTTTAATCCACATCATGACTTAGTTTCTCAGCCTTTTCATATTTTATAACTCTCAGTGCCTTCGTAAGTGAATACACAGTATTCAAAATACTTCAAAAATATGTAGTAAAATGAATTTTATTATCGAAGAAACCAGTAGCTCTTCTGAAGAGAATATAAAACTGCCAAAATATATCTCGTTTCAGAAAGATTTTTAAAGTGCTTTGATGTTCCCGATCTGTAATTCAAAATGTTTATGTAGGGAATAGCATTTATATACATGATAGCACCAGTTTTGTCTTTAATAATTCCTGTGATGCATTTTTTTTTTTGTATTTTAAGTGCACGTGAGACTAGCGTGCCACATGTGGATAAGCCTCAGTGGGATCATGAAGCTATGCTTCACACTCATCCCAATCCACACACTTGGCTATTTCTTTCGTGAACATTTTTCAGAACACCTCAACCATTTTTCTTTATTGCTCCTCTCAGTAGCCTTTTTGGGGCATTTTTAAAAAAGATTTTATTTTTAAGTAACCTCTGCAACCATTTGTAGGGCTTGAACTCACAACCCTGAGATCAAGAGTTACATGCCGACTCAGCCAGCAGGCACCTAGAATTTATTTTCTCATTTCCCTTCTTCCTCCCATCCCCCACGGTGAAATTCAAATACTATACACGTGCTGTTCATCTGTTATTGTATGTGGCCCTTTGGAGCGCTTCAGGCACTGTAACATGTAAGATCACTTGAGACTTCAACCATGTTTGCCCCCAGTATCCATTGCCAGAATAGAATAAAATAACAAGAAAGTAGCATTTTCCTTTTGCTGTTTTGTAGAAGTAAAAGATTTTAAGTCAGGAAAACAAAGAAATAATTGGTTTGTCGCTTAGCATTTTAATTTCTTTTGGTACAGTTATTCATTGAAAAAACAAGGCCAATGTTGGGTTATTTACTAGAAAGTCACAAAAATTATTTTCATTTCTAGTATCCGCTTTTGCTGAATTTATGTGGCATAAGTTTTTAGGTTATAAAGCTCAGTTGGCATCAAGTTGGTTAGAAAGTTGGATCTATTTGCATTCCAATTGAGTATCTTTCACCCCGGTAGCTATTGCTCAAGTAGCTGTGTGCTCTTTTCATGACAGGGACTGGCATTACAGTTGATGCCTTCCAGTACGGACTGGTCGAAGGTTGCACAGCCTATTTTCTCACACATTTTCATTCTGACCATTACGCTGGATTGTCTAAAAACTTCACCTTCCCAGTTTATTGTAGTGAGGTAAGTTTTAGTATTCTAAACTCTGAATGTATGGGATGCAGCAAATTTCTAAGTAATGTGGTTGAAAAAGAGTAATTAACATTGTAAGATCTGTCATCCTACTAGAAAAGCCATGAGAAAACAGATTCCACATTAAGATTCTAAAATTAAATGAGTTATTGTCAATAGTTACAATAGCGTTTTTTTTAATGCTTTATTATTCAGAAACTGTAAACTACTTCACAGTGCACTAAAACACCTAGGTTTCATCCTAGTGTTGAATGAGTAGTTAATGAGTACCTACAAAGGCATTCAAGACAAAATACCTAACTTCAGGGCACTCATGGCCTTCAGTGGACACTTTCCCAAATACACTGTGTTGGGGTGCTAGAAAACTGAGCAGAATATAGGAGAAAGTGCTTTACAGTGTCCCAGGCCAAGGTCAGAGAAAGTTTCCTGGTGGAAGAGATACCTTGAATTAATTATTAAAAGGTGACTATTTTAGGGGTGCCTGGGTGGTTCAGTCAGCTAAGCATCTGACTCCTGATTTCAGTTCAAGTCGTGATCTCAGGGTTGTGAGATCGAGCCCCATATCAAACTTTGTCAAAGCAGGCTTGGAGACTGCTTAAGATACTCTCTCCATCTACCACTCATGTATCTCTCTCTCTCTCTCAAAGAAAGAAAGAGAGAGAGAGAAAGAAAGAGACTATTTTAATGCCTACTACTAAGGGATTTGGCTAGAATTTGATTTAATCCTCATTCTTGAATTAACCTCCTTTTTCAGTTGTTTTTTTTTTTCATTTATTTTTGAGAGAGAGAGAGAAAACATGAGTGGGGAAGGGACAGAGAGAGAGGGAACGAGGATCTGAAGCAGGCTCTATGCTTACAGCAGTGAGCCCAAATGGAGCTCAGACTTACAAACTGTGAGATCATGTCCTGAGCCAAAGTCAGACACTCAACCAACTGAGCCACCCATGCGCCCCTAACCTCTTTTCATTAATGAGGCAACTCGGGCTGGGAGAGGGGTTAAATGATGTGCCCCAAGGCATAGAGCTAATAATGGCAGAGCCAGAATTTGAATGCAGGTCTGTCCGATTCCAGAACCAGGTGGAAGAGAGAGGAGAGGGCATTCTAGGTAGAGAGTAGAGTTTGTATAAGGGCACACACACCTTAGAGAGATTGACCCGTCCCAGGCACTTCAGATAACTCAGAATGGCTAGCCGTGACATAGGGAATAACAGAAGATAAACCCACAGAAATGAGCAGGGGCCGGCTCACAAGGGGTTTTGTTTGTCTTCCGGGGGTGAGGGACTTTGCACGGATAGGGAGAGCCAGTGACAGTGTTTAAACAGAATTGTGACAGTCATTTTAGGAAGTTTTTTTCTGGTATTCTGGAGGGTTTCCATGAATATTAGTGGGGGAGCAGGGAGACTAAGATACTTGGTTCTAAACTAGATATGAAACAGAAGACTTATCTAGTGTTTTGCTGTGTCAGCAATATGTGCGTTCTGTTTTGCAGATAACTGGCAATTTGTTGAGGAGCAAACTTCACATGCAAAAGCAATACGTCCATCCTCTGCCGATGGACACCGAATGTATAGTAAATGATATAAAAGTTGTTTTGCTTGATGCTAATCAGTAAGTATTAAAGTCACCTTAAGGCTGGCCTATTTTTTAAAGTATTTTTTAAAAAATTAGTATATCTATTTAAGAATTTTTTATTGGAACTAATGTGATTGCTCTTTTTATAAACTTGAGTAAAACATGTTTCTCCTTTTGGAAAAACAACAACAACAATGTACCTGATTATGGAATCAGAGATTAAATATAGTGAGATCCTTTAAATATTACCTAACCCATTTTTAATGCTGCTTAAATTACTGTGCTTGATATATGACATCCCTCTTATTTTTTTAAAAAATATTTTATCATGTTGCTGCTGTTTTGAAGAGATAACCTTTTGCCATATTCTTTATTTTTTTTAATTTTTTGCCATTTTCTTTAATATCATTTATATAAGTTAACAGATTGTACTCCATTCAGATACTAGAGAATTTTTTTTCCCTTTTAAGAAATTCTTCAAGCTTTTGATACTAAAGACTTGGAAAATTTTTTCTTGGAAATTGTTTCCCTTTTCCCTCTCTTTGTTAGTTTTTTTTTTTTTTTTTTAACGTAAAGCACTGTCAGTATCATTGCCAAAATGTTACTCTCAACCACACTTCCTTCTACTTTTCATACAATGTTAGCCTTGTGAGATAATAGATAGCCTTAGAGATCATAGATGCTTAGAGAATTAAAATTGAGACTAGCTCTCCAAAAACCCAGACCCATGCTCCATCTTCAGGTTGCCTTTTACTTCTTGTCTGCCAACTTCTGTTTCTTTTTTTAATCACCAATTATGACAACTCAAGTTCTGATTTTTTAAAGTCAACTTTATTAGGTATAATTTATATAAACAGCCATTTTAAGTGTTTGCAGAATTTTGACAAAAATACCCACCCATGTAATGCCCACCACAATAAAAATAGAGGACATTTTCCCCACCCTAAAAGGCTTCCTTATGCTCCTTCTCAGTCAATTCCCAACTGACTCTGGCCCATGGAACCATTGATTTCTTTCCTATCACTATGGGTTAGATTTGTCTTTCATTTCCTGCACCCTAGGGATTCAGCTAAGTGAAATCGCATAGTATCTACTCTTTTGCATCCAGCTTCAGTCCTTCATCATGTTTTTGAGATCCATTCATGCTGATGTGTGTATCCGTAGTTTGTTCCTTTTTATTGCTGAGTGTTACCAGTTGCATGGGCACACTACAATATCTTTATTCACCTCTTGACGGACAACTGATTTTTGTTAATTGACCTTGTATCCTGAGACCTTGCTAAACTCCCACATTAGCTGTAGTCAGTTTTTTGTAGATTCGTAGAAATTGTCTGCATGTATGTTCATGTCATCTGCAAGTATAGACCGTTTTGTTTTACTTCTTTCCATTCAGAGTGCTTTTTTTCCCTCTTGTTTTTGGTCCTGGCTCAGACCTCTCAGTAGTGAGAGCAGAGGTACTGCCTTGTTCCTGACCCTAAGAAGAAAGCTTTTGGTCTTTCTCATTGAGCTTGATGTTGGCAATAGGTTTTTCATAAATGCCTTTGTATGAGGTTGAGGAAGATGCCCTCTGTTCCTGGTGTACAGTTTGTCATCATGAATGGGTATTGAATTTTGTCACATGCTCCTTCACCCACTGGGACAATCATATAACTTTTCTCCTTTATATTGTTAACGGGGTAAATAATCATGATGGGTTTTCTGAATGTTAAACCAGCGTTGCGTTCCTTGGATAAACCACACTTAATCTTCATGGATTATCCTTTTAACAATATATATTGCTGGATTTGACATGCCAGATATTGTGTTAGAGACTTCTGTGTCTGGTTTTCATAATGGATGTTAGTCTGTAGTTGTTGTTCTTTGTTGTTGTTGTTTTTTAATTATGTTTTTGTCTGGCTTTGACATTAGGGTAATGATGGCCTCGTGAAGTATTCCTTCCTCCTCTATTTTCTGAAAGATGTTGTGTATATTGGTATTATTGGTATTCTTTCCCAGGCTTGGTATTATTATTATTGATAATATTGGTATTATTTCTTTCCCAGTTCAGTTATTCATCTGAAGTTTTAGGGCAGAAAGCTAAGGGGAAGTTTTTAATTACAAAAGTAATTATGTCCTACTTCTTCCTAAAATTCAAAACTAAAGTTCCACGTGTTCGGGCAGTAATTTCCAAGTCCCAGTATATCAGGTCATCCCCAAGTCTACCGTGGCTCACTAGGAGGACCCATGGGACTCAGAAAAGCTGTCGTACTCATGGTTATGGTGAAAGGATTCAGATTAAAATCAGCAAAGGGAAAAGGCAAACGGGGGCAAAGTCCAGGAGAGACCAGGCCCAAGTTTCCAGGTGCCTTCTTCTAGCGAGTGGCACAGACATACTTAGTTCTCCCAGCAATCAGGTGTCACCACACACGCAAAGCCTGGCTGAGCTGGGAAGCTCATCGGAGCCTGGAGTCCGGCCAGGGCTTTTATCAAGCGTCAGTCATGTGTACATGCAGCACCCACGTGACTTGCCTCGGCTACTCAGACCCCAGCCCCAGAGAGCAAAAACAGGTATTCACCATAGATAACACTGTTAGCATAGACTCTCCGGTCCAGCTAGCCACACGTGGCCCCGTGCATCAGGCCCACAGAGCACTCTTACCAGGCAGAATATTCCCAGAGCTCAGAACTCCTCTCTCAAGGGCCAGCCAAAGACTAATCCTAAAGACAGGTCTTAGTGGGGGAAGTGTGGAGTTTGAACAAACCTGGCCTGCTGAATTAATCCTTTTCTGCACCCGGATTTTTTTTTTTTTTTTATGATGTAAACTTTGCTAAAGTGAAAATGCTACATTTCCTCTGTAGTGCAGTGCTGTGCCGAGCCATCAGCTGCTAGAGCGTCTTCACCCGCTGATAATGAATGAGTGCTCTTCCTTTGGCTTCCGTGCACGTTAACAATATTCCTTCGAAATGTTTGTGTTCAGCTGTCCAGGTGCTGTCATGATCCTGTTCTACCTTCCTAATGGTAAAGTCCTATTACACACCGGAGACTTCCGAGCACACCCCACCATGGAACGTTCTCTTCTCGCGGGCCAGAAAGTCCACACGCTTTACTTAGATACAACGTAAGAGAGGCTTTGCTTGTATGCTTCCTTTTCCCACTGACAGTATTTGCCCCGTATATCATGAATAATCTGCACAGTTGCTTAGGCAATCAAAATGATGGCTTATTATCAATTACTATCCTAACTATTTATTAGAGAAATGCCGTTTGAAAAAATACATATTTGCTTGAGAACAAGTTTGAGGTGACCTAGTCCTAACCAGCTGTGACTCAATTTTTTCTATTTTGTAATTTCCTTTTGAAAATATGGTTTATGTGAGAATCCTGTTACTGAAACAAGGAAGAGAAAGTGGAGGACAAACTCTAGGAAACACTCTTTTATTTTTCCACAGCACCTATGTAACTAGTAAGTATAATTGTGGAGAAGAAACAGAAGCCAAAATGCGATTCTGTTTCAGAATATTCAAAATTCTTGTTCATTTGTCCAAAATGTAATTCTTAAGTGACAATTCTGAATTCCTAAATGTTATATAAACATAATGGCACCAGCCATTTTTTATTATATATTAAAATACCTCATCATTTTGTTAGAATTTAATTATATCGACTATTTCAACCTTTTTCAAGAAGTGAGTTCGTATGGCATATTTTAATAAAAGATGGCCTTTCCATATCCAGTTTTCTAACACTATAGCTAATTTTTCCATTTTTAAAAAATTTTTTAATACTTGAAACACTAGATAAGTTAAGAAAATGATATGTAAAAACCCCACCTTTTTTGTTACTTAGTTTTGCTCTACATAGAATTCTGAATTTCTTTGTGGGTTTTTTTATCCCTAAAAAGTGACCTAAGTCACTTAAGACACCTAAGTGTCTTCTCTATTATTATGGCTGACCAACACAAACAATTTTAAAATGGGGAAAAATATGTTTCTTTGATGTTCGTACTTTATGACTTTTTTTAAGTAAAAAAAAATGCTTAATTTTCATTCCACGTAGAGACAACTAGCTAGTGGTCTGAGGGTTAATTTTCCATTTGGTGTTACTGTATTGAGGTAGACCCAACCAGATCTGTAGAATTTTTTAATACTGTACATATTTCTGTATCTCCTCAGAAGAACAGATGACCATGTGAATATTCACTGTCTGATTTAAAACTACTTCAGTACATTCATATTTGGTTTCATCATTTTAATTTTTAAACGAAATCAGAATTCTTTAGTTCAGAGATAACCCCTGTCACTAGTATTTTCTTTGATAGTGATTGGGGTTAAAACAAAAAAGCTGCTGAGGTTTATAATTCACAGCTAAAATAGCAGGTCGGCTTAAGCAGTCCTTGAAGAAAAACAGGCAGTTTCTTTATACGGGGGCGATAAAAGAAACATGAAAAAGATACATTGAAGATGCAGAACCCCAACAAAAATGAGCCCCGGCCCTTCACAAGCATTTTAACCATCGACAGTGACAGAACCGCAGGGGTGTTAATATGTTACACTGCTGCTGTCCGTACGCTTGCTAAAGCTTGCTTTCTAGAACAACATCCAGCTTAATGCTCAGGCTTTCTTGTTGCTCATTTAATAAGTGCCGTATTTAACATATTACAGATACTGCAGCCCTGAATACTCCTTCCCATCTCAGCAAGAGGTTATCCAGTTTGCCATCAACACGGCCTTTGAGGCAGTAACTCTAAACCCACGTCTTCTTGTTGTCTGTGGCACTTACTCTATTGGAAAAGAGAAAGTCTTTCTAGGTGGGTGGTAGCTGTATCTAATTTACATTAATATATTATAAAGATCAGATTCTCTTTTGCATAAAGCCCTTTCAGTCTGGGTGCTTGCACTCAATACTTCTTTCCTGAAACGGTGCACTATTACCTTTGTAGTTGAAGAAAAATTTGATAGAGTTGGATTCATTTAAACTCTGAAAGGCTTCACTTAACGGAAACACTTGAGAAGTGTGTTTGCAGTAGCCTTTACACGTATACAATGTTTACAAAGCAAATGTCCCTGCTACCTATGTTAGTATTTCAGTGAACTTTGAAAATTTACTCCTGCATAATTGTATCTCTGCACTCTTTGAAGATAACCATCAATTAATTGCTTTAGAGAACAGTTTTCATTTTTGTACATCAGTGATTTCTGGATATGTAAATGTAGTTTGTCCAGATGGCATTAGACTATTTTGCAAAATACTTGGCATTTCTTCCTAATTATGGTCGCCTCATGGCAAACGTTAAGATATGAAGTGATAAAGCCGGAGATTTAACTCCTCCAACCTTGGTTCCTTCTTTTCCTCTACCCCTGTCTATACATCTCAATTTTTAAATACTAGGTCCTAAAAATAAATTCTTTGGCTTTCTCACAGTTTTTACTTCATACAATTAACCAACAAAATAATGCTGTGTTTTTGAGATATTAAAAATGTGAACGTTTTGAATTTCTTTTTTTTTTTCCTTTTGGTAAATTCTTATTTTAAATTTTGATTAGGTTGTAACTTAATTTTTTTTCACAAGCTCTCATTTTACTATTTTTAACCTTTTCCTTTGCCTATAGCCATTGCTGATGTTTTAGGTTCAAAGGTGGGCATGTCCCAAGAAAAATATAAAACCTTACAGTGCCTCAACATCCCAGAACTTAACTCCCTCATCACTACAGATATGTGCAATTCCCTGGTTCACCTTCTCCCAATGATGCAAGTTAACTTTAAGGTAAGCATTCATGAGATGTCTTTTTAGAATGAACTAGAAAAGGCAATACAGTGATTATAAACTGGACTCCCATTTTACTTGCATTTAACTTAGAGGAATTAGAATGGAGTCCTAGTAAACTTTGCCCTAGAAGGTCTTCTAAGTGGAGTTTACAATGTTTTTATTTTGTGTGTGTGTGCACGCAACTGTATAGGGTAATTCATATGCCCTAGGAACTAGAGAACTATCATAAAAGAAATAAAAATAGAAAAGTATGCAACTATCTCATCACTTACACCTTCTGTTTTTAAGATTGTTTTCCATTTCTATCCAGTGAGTGGAGCAATGAATGGAGAATTCTAAGAGTTCTTACTTGTCTTACGGCCTATTCTGTATTAATATTAAACCCCTGTAACACTGATATATTTTGGAAATTAACCTGCTGTGAGGATTAAGTGCAACAGCGGAAGTGCATTCAAAGAGGATGTTCTAGTGTTAGTTCTGAGGTAGAGACTAAGAGACAGAAGATATGACCTCACTCTGATTTGGGGGACTTACTTGTCAGGTTTATTCATATACTAAGTTTCATTCCATTTACCAGCATTTTGACACCTAGCAATGGAATACATCAGAACTGTGTATTAAAAATACATAAGAACATAATGTATACACACAAAAAATGTTTTTCACTTTTGTTCACATGTTCATGAAATAACATTTGTGGAGCTTTTCGAAATAGCTTAGGATGTTAATTGCTGAATCTGTCTTATAAACAATAAAACTTACCCTATATTAAGAAAATGAGGGGCATCTAGGTGGCATCCGACTCTTGGTTCCAGACCAGGTCATGACCTCACAGTTCGTGAGATTGAGCCCCTCGCTGGGCTCTGCGCTGACAGTGCGGAGCCTGCTTGGGATTCTCTCTCTCCGTCTCTCTGCCCCTCCTCTGCTTGCTTGCTCTCTCAAAAATATAAACTTAAAAAAATTAAAAATTAAAAAATTAAAAAAAAAAAGAAAATGACTATTTTACTTCTATCCCTGGAATAAGGAAATTGTAACTGGTGTAACTATTCCTTTGTTCATGAGATTAAGGCAGAATTTTCATGGTCTGTTTTCCCAAGTGTATAATTCACTAAAAAAATTCAGGGATACTCAAGTCAGACTTCTGTCCCTTTAAAGTCATCTTTGGAAACATATTTGAAATTTGGGAGGCATCTAATGTGTGTGGATTAATGAGATATCATTGATTATTCATAAAGTGAACATTGATATCTTGAGGATGGGATGGCATGTTTTTATTATTTTTATCTTACAGTTTTATTTCTCACTATTGTAGTTTGTTCCCTTTGAACAAATGACCCATTTAGGAGGATAATAAGGGTGTGAGAGTCAGAGTTTTATAGAAACGAGGGAGTAGAGCATTTCATGAAAGAGTTTCTAAAGGTACCCTGTGCTACATGGAGGTCATGTAAGGAAAGAACGGCAATTTGGCAATTAGAGCCTGTGGGGTGACCTGCACAAGAACATTTAAGTGAAGTGACATTGGAGGAGGCCAGGTGGTAGAGTGCAAAGGAAGGAATGAGAAGGGCTTAGGATGGAATGAGGAGGTATGAACGGCCAAATGAATGAAAAGATATACAAATGGCCTAAAAAACATGAGAAAAGAGGATCATCATTGATCAGGAAACTGTAAATCAAAACCACAGTGAGCTGCCACTTCATACTCCCTGGGACAGTGGTAATAAAGAGAGAGACAGTGTCATTTGTTAGTATATGGAGAAACTGGAACCCTCACTTATTGCTTATGAGATGATTAATGGTGCAGCTGCTTTGGTAAACAGTGTGATGATTCTTGAAAAGTTAAACATGGGGTGATGATATGACCAGCTAATCTTAGGTGTATGCCCAAGAGAATTGAAAGGTGTATGTCTACACAAAAGCTTCCACACAAACGTTCACAGCCACATTATTCGTAATAGCAAAAAAGTGGAAACAACTCAAATATCCATCAAATGATGAATGGATAAACAAAATGCACCATATCTATCAAATAGGAATGTTATCCAACTATAAAAAGGAATGAATTAATGAATTAATAATATATGCTACAGTGTAAATGAGCCTTGGCAACATTATGCCAAGTGAAAGAAATCAGACACAAAAGGCTACATATTATGTGATTCCATTTATACGAAATGTCCTCAGGAGGATTATAATGGAAACTTAGCTATCTATCCATAACTTAAACTTTTTTGTGGGGAGGCAGCGCCTGGGTGCCTCAGTCAGTTAAGCATTCTACTTCAGCTCAGGTCATGATCTCGCGATTCATAGGTTCAAGCCCCACGTTGGGCTCAGAGCCTGGAGCCTGCTTCAGGTTCTGTGTCTCCCTCTCACTCTGCCCTTTTCCACTACTATTCCATCTCTCTCAAAAATAAATAAACATTAACAAAAAATTCAAAGGGGCACCTGGGTGTCTCAGTCGGTTGACCTTCCAACTCTTGGTTTTGGCTCAGGTCATGATCTCACGGGTTCAAGCCCCACATCAGGCTCTGTGCTTGCAGAACCTGCTTTGGATTCTGTGTCTACCTCTCTCTGCCCTTCATGTTTTGTCTCTCTTTCTCTCAAAATAAATAAACTTAAAAAAAAAGACAACTGTTTCTTTAAAAAAAATATTTTAAAAAATGAATCCTTTGTGAAAAGGTCAATCAGTAAGGCTTTTAGTTATCAATGGTATAATACATGATGGGAATTAGAAAAGGTTAAGAAAGGGCACATGGTTTCCATTTTTAAAAAAGATCTGCACAGTGGGTTTTATTGACCATCTCCCTGCCAGGCTATAAGCTTCCAGTACGCGAAGGCCGTGTCTCTGACCCACCACTCTGGCACCATGACCTGGCCAAATACTGGAGCAGATATTATTTAGATGAGGGGCTAAGTAGATGGATGCATGGATTTGTCTTTGTTTTCTTCAGAACTTTCCACCAGCGCTCTTTTATACTACTTTGGTAGCTCAGAGAATGTATGATTAAGAAAGAAAAGGAAGAGCTTTAGAAATCCAAGATGACACCATGTGCAGTTGAGATTTTTTATTTACATAAAACTGGATTGTATTATAAATTCACACTAACTCCTTGACACTGTGGGTTTTGTCTTAAGACCAAAAATAGTAGACTTTTGGTATCTCTTGTCCCATGACTCTTTTTATTTGGATTTTTCTTATCTTTCAAAGATTGAATTTTGGTCACTGATTGTCATATTTCATCAAATGTCCTCATTTATGATGACTTTAGTTTGGAAAATTCTACTCAAGATTTCTTAGGGAAGCACAGTGCTTCCAATCATAACAGCATGAAAAGTGTCAAAAGCATTCTAGTTCATGTTTAAAGAGTGAAAAGGAGTAAAGCCCCGGAGAAGAGTGCCTTTGAAATGTGCATGTTGAGTATGAAGCCGGCCATAGCATTGTGTCCACTCTCTATCTGTCCGTCGGTCCTCCGTTGTGCATACACAGGTGGATATGTTTGGCTCGCTGTTTCCCAGTGTCAGTATTAGATTCTCTAACAGGGATACTTAGATGCTATTATCCCCAGCATCCTCGCCGTATATTCACTATCCTCATAATAGTAGGACTTGGAGTTTTTTTCTATTCTTTTTTTTTTTTTTTTTGGTAGCTATCTGATAGGTTATCCTTAAATACATAACTCTTATGTTTAAAGTTACTTCATCTAATAAGTCAGGCAGACAAGGACAAATATCATATGTTTGCACGTATAAGAGGATTAGGAGGAACTTAACTGAGGACCATGGGGGAGAAGAAGGGGGGAAGTGGTGGGGGAAAGGGAGAGAGGCAAACCATGAGAGACTCTTGAATGCTGAGAAACAAACTGAGGACTGATGGGTGTGGGGGGGCAGGGGGGAGATGGGCATGGATGAGGGCACTTGTGGGGATGAGCACTGGGTGTTATATAGAAACCAATTTGACAATAAACTATTTGTAAAAAAAAATTAAAAAAAATAAAGTTGCTTCATCTTATTTTCAGACTGTACTTAAGCTTGTTTAGATAAGGGGAAAAGTTTGGTTTTTGTCTTTTTTTTTAGTGATTTTGATTTTCTTTTTTTCGAAGTATGGCTTGAGGTTATTGCAAATCAATGTTTGCCAGGTGCCAACTTGGTGAGTCTATGCCAACGTGATCGTTCTGTTTCCTTCCGCATAACCCGCCTTCATGGACCATTCAATAAATATCCTATTTTTATTTAACAGGCTTTACAGAATCATTTGAAGAAGTGCGGTGGAAAATATGATCAGATTTTGGCTTTTCGACCTACAGGATGGACACATTCTAACAAGTTAACTAGTATAGCAGACATTATTCCCCAGACCAAAGGAAACATTTCAATATATGGTATAATTATTACATTTCTTCACTGTTAATATCTGTTATTACATTTTTAAAAAGAGCTGTGAAAATAAGATCCAAGAAAAACAGGCACCTGGGAGTCTTTAGTAATCGAGTTTCAGGGCCCCTGGGTGGTTTAGTTGGTTAAGTGTCTGACTCCGGCTAAGGTCACGATCTCACAGTTTTTTGGTTCGAGCCCCGCATCGGGCTCAGTGCTGACAACTCAGAGCCTGGAGCCTGCTTTGGATTCTGTGTCTCCCTCTCTCTCTCTGCTTTTTCCCCACTTGCACTCTGTCTCAAAGAGAAATAAACATTAAAAACAAAAAAAAGGTTTAAAAAAATCAAGTTTCAAATTGCTCTACATTCTCTACAGCTGTGTCTTTAGTCCATTATAAACTGAAAGAAAGGAGCGTGTTAGGAGTGCACGGGCATTGGTAACACAGATCGTCTCGTTTGCGGGGCTGGTACTGTGGGGGAGACCACAGCCATCACTTGTGACCTAGGCATTCAGGTGCCACTGTCAGGCTGTCAGCAGGAAGACTGGATTAGATGCCATGACAGCAAGAGGGACAGATTTGACTCATTTTTGTCATTTCTTGGAGGATGTTTACTCTTGTCCTCAGAAATTGCTTACTGTAATAGTGGCTGATGGAAACATTTTTGATGTCACTAGACTAGTGACTTAATTTCAGTCCCTGACGACTCTAGTTAAGTCCAGGCGGGACCCTTTCTCCCTTTCTCTGTGGTACTTGGTCTTCAGCAAAGACAAAAGGATTTCTAGGATTTGATTTTTACTGTTACATTTTTTGCTTATTTTTTACGTGTGCAAAGCTTGGGGACTGGAATCTGCTTACTTGCTCAGGAAACCAAGAGTCTTCTTCTTGCTGACTGCTCTTCAAATTTTATTCATTTTTTTCCAGAATTTTCCTGAAACACATAGCTGAATGAAGTGCTTAAGGAGAAGAATTATTTAAAAAGAAAGCCTAATTAAAAATAAGAATCTATAGAAATACATATTAAGAGTCTACATAGAAATGCAATAGAATTTTTTAATGTTCAAAGTTTCTATATCATTTTAATCTCTATTATCCATAAAAGTTGTTAATACTTTTTTTTTTTTATCAGCAATAAAGCACCAAGAAGTTTTTGGCAAAAATACTCTGGATTACTTTCATTTTTTATTTTACTTTGGGCTTGTGTGGGGTTTTGTTTTAATAGTTTGATTTTTCACAGGCAGTATCTTTTCTTTTGTGTTGCAGGAATCCCTTACAGTGAACACAGCAGCTACCTGGAAATGAAGCGTTTTGTTCAGTGGCTGAAGCCCCAGAAAATCATACCTACCGTGAATGTCGGCACTTTGAAATCCAGGAGCACAATGGAGAAGTATTTCAAAGAGTGGAAGTTGGAAGCCGGATATTGATATTACCGGAAAGGACTCAGAGCTAGTCAAGTAACTTACATATAGCTCATTACTAGTTAAATCTTCAGTGATATGAAACACACTTTATACAAAAAACCTCATGAAGGCTGCACATATAAATTGTTTTTCTCATTTACGTTTGAACAGCGTGTTCATGGTGCCCAGTGCCGAGTGTCTCCACATCATCCGTAGTGATGGAGCCTGGCCTTGACCAAGAGCCCTTGATCCTTGCTCCCTCCACGGAAGCAGGTACACCCTGTATCCAGCCTCAGGAGAGGCAACAATGGCAGGCTTAGGGGCCAAACTATGCATGATAATGGATAAACGAAATTGAAAGCATTACATAGAAGTAATTTTGTATCTTTAAAATTATTTAATATGGGGCATATTTTTATGAAATAGCTTTTATGTGATATGAATACTTAAATAAAAAATTAATCTTATATTTGCCATAGTGTCTTTTGGTTTTTTAGATTTGTAACTGTGATGTTCATACAGTTTTATAAAATTTCAATGAAAATAATTCACCATTCACTCTAAAGAAGATGATTCAAAGAGCCTAGGTAGTCACCCTATAAAGGATGGCGAAAAGTATGTATCTGAACTGTTTACTCAAGGCATCAGATTACTAGAAATTCAGGTTATAGTGGTTTTTTTAATGAGATTATATAATTTATTTATGAATCTTGATCTCTCCAACACAGACTAAGTAGCTGATCCAAAATGAAAACTTAGGGCAGGCCAATTCATGTTCAAAATGTTTTCATGTTAAAAATGTTTTAAAAAATAAAAAAACAGCAAGTATAATGAACGTATGTATGTGGGTGTATGTGTATTCTCACGTTATCTTTTTTTTTTTTTTAATGTTTTGAGAGAAAGAATGAGAACAGGGAAGGGTCAGAGAGAGAGGGAGACACAGAATCCAAAGCAGACTCCAGGCTCTGATCTATCAGCACAAAGCCTGACACAAGGCTTGAACCCACGAACCTTGAGATCCTGACCTGAGCCAAAGTTGGGATGCTTAACCATCTGAGCCACCCAGGTGCCCCGGGGAATTTCTTAATAAAGGTTTTCATGGAAAATAGTTTCCAGTAATGATTTCAGTCACCAGAAGGATAGTGTTCTCTGTAAACTTTATTTCACAGACTTGGATTTTACATTGCTTTGGAGGTCAGGGTTACACAGGTCACATTTAAGGGGGAAAGGCTTTTAGGAGCACAGTAGTAATAAATTCAGTTTAACTATGTTCTCAGTCAACTTCAATCACACGTTTAAAATATTTCAACTTGTTTGGGCTTGAAGTTTTAAACTTTTCATAAGCTATTAAGTGTTAGAAAAACTTTGTCTAGCTCACAAATACAGGCATGTTTAATATAGGGAGATGGTCAAGTTGCTTATGGTCATTTTAATTTATTATTTGAGTAGTGAGTTTTTTTTCTTTGAATTGTGATTTTTCCTTGGTAAAAAGGATTTTCATGATTTTGAAGGCTTTACCTTGAAAACCCAGGCACGTTATCTAAGGGCAGCCTCAGCCTTTTTATTATCCAATGCAAAGAAACCTCTTTCTACACAAACAGCACTATTTACAGCAGCTTGGAATGATTTTGTTTTGCTGCTACTGCCACAGAATATTCAGAACCCCATTTAGGGCCCATCCCAAAGAGTTTTAAATATAAGTCACAATCACAGCCAGACTTCTCCGGGCTCTGCTGAGAGCTATATATGAAATTCTTCGTTCCAATACCTAACACTTCGGTAGATAAAAAATTTCAATTTTAAAGTGAAATGAAAGAAGAAATCTACCATCAACCAAAAATAAATGGATGACAGCTCTTGAACATCTTAAACATGTGTAGAGAGGAAATAGAATTGAGCCAATGTAGAGAAAAATGTTCTACTATTTATGTATTTGGAACTTTCCAGAAAGCTGCTTTGTACTCTTACCTGACACTGAACATTAAACATTTAACAAGCTGATTTCACATTCTCATGACTTCAGTATAATAGAAAAACCTTTTCTACTTATTGTCAATGTCTTTTGTCATATTTATTAACGTACCTAAATATGAAACAGGTTTTCAGAGTAACAAAGCTTATTACACTGTTTGTTCACTTATATTCCGTTCCGTTATATTCCTATCAGCCGAATACAGTCAGAATTTCCTTGTTTGGTCCTGGATAACCATCAATAACTAGACTAAGAAACTAAAAAGAAGACCATCTTCAAGTACTAATCTTCAAAGTAACCTGGCTTGAAAGAATGTTAATACTGACTTGTAACTTTTCTAGTGGTTTTATTACTATTCATTCAGTTCACTTGATATTGATCTCAGAAAAAGTCCAATAAAGAAGTTCTTTGACATCAGCAAAACCGTAAGTTAATGGTTCTAGATAATAGAAGAACAGTTTAGGTATCAGAATTACTTCTATTCTGAATAGTTGGAAGTTTTTAACCTGGCAGCCATTTTAATCTACTAATTATGTTTCCTCTTTCCCTCAGTATCTACCCCTTTCTCCTCAAAGTAGACTTAGTCTCCTGGCCTGGGTCCCCTTCCCCCCAAGATTTCACAGTCCCATTTCTGGTAAGCCAGGAATAACTTATAATACATTTGTTATGAAGTGTGCCAAATGTACAAAACCAAGTATTATGCAAAATGATTATTTTCTTTAAACATTCAAGGCCGGGCCAGAATGAGGGGGAGGCAGGAGGGGTTAGCGTATGGAAGCTGAGGAGGTGCTGAGCCTGCCTCTTACTGACCCTGTACTTGCATGGCCCAGGGAGAGAGAGCCTGCCTACATCTCACACTAGGAACCCTCTTATCTCATCCTATTCCCGGGCCCTGCTTCGTAGGGTTTCATTATTGTGTTTTTGCTGTTTCGGTGAATCCAAAAAGGTTTTCTAAATAAAATACTGTTGTAACTGTGTTTTGAAACAAAAACATTATATTTGAATTGAAGAACGTACATTTTAAATAACTTCCAGGGGCGCCTGGGTAGCTCAGTTGGGTAAGTGTCTGACTTAAGCTCAGGTCATGATCTTGTGGTCACAAGTTCGAGCCCTACATAGGGCTCTGTGCTGACAGCTTGGGGCCTGGAGCTTGCTTTGGATTCTGTGCCTCCCTCTCTCTCTCTGCCCCTCCCCCACACATGCTCTGTCTCTTTCTCTCAAAAATAAATAAGCATTAAAAAAATTGTTTAAAAAAACAAAAAGAACGTCCAGATCCATCAGTATAGAGCTAATTGGCCCCTATGGTGCTAAGGTACCAAAAACCCAGATTCTTCTGAGACTTCTCTCCCAGGGTATGTAAACCCTTTCTGGGCAGACTTTATCTTGTTCATTTTATGATCTAGCACTGTTCTCAAGGTCTGGTTCTTTCTAATAAACAGGAAGTGCTTAAATGAATCTTGGATAAACAGTGAAAAATCTATTCAAGTTCTAAGAATCTGACTTCCAAAATTCACGTGTTTTCCTCAGGCAAAAATGGTTTCATTCCAGAAGAACCACTGAAAGTAAAAATATTTTGAAACTACTCAGTTGATTGTTTTGGGTATATTAGAACATCTATTAGGGGGGACGCCTGGGTGGCTCAGTCGGTTAAACGTCCGACTTTGACTCAGGTCATGATCTCACGGTTCGTGGGTTCAAGCCCTGTGTCGGACTCTGTACTGACAGCCAGCTCAGAGCCTAGAGACTGTTTCAGATTCTGTGTCTCCCTTTCTCTCTGACCCTCCCCTGCTCACGCTGTCTCTCTCTCTCTCTAGAAATAAATAAAAAACATTAAAAAAATTATATTAAAAAATAAAATAAAACATCTATTAGGTCCAATTCAGTGTGGGAACAATTTAGAGAAGAAACTTTTCTCGTCGGGGTGCCTGGGTGGCTTAGTCGGTTAAGCGTCCGACTTTCGCTTAGGTCATGATCTCGCGGTTCGTGGGTTCGAACCCCGCGTCGAGCTCTGTGCTGACTGCCAGCTCAGAGCCTGGAGCCTGTTTCGGTCTGTGACTCCCTCTCTCTCTGACCCTCCCCTGCTCACGCTGTCAATCTCTCTCTCTCCTAGAAATAAATAAAACATTAAAAAAAAACAATTATTAAAAAAAAAAACTTTTCTTGTCAAGATGTATTGCTTTGGTTTGTCACTAAAATCAATCATTGAGCATTTGAACCCTCCCTCCGAGAACTTCTGCCAGTCAGCACTACTTGTTGATTAACTGGCCTATACTCCAGCTATCCCGGGTATTGTGGGGAAATTAAGAACAATTCAATCTAGCAAGCACATATTGAGAAATTATTCTGTATAGGGTGGAAAGGTTACAAAGATGCTTTGTTAGGGGACTCCCACATCAATAAAATAGTCTCAAGCATCACAGAGTATTAGGAAAGAAAGACATGTCTCTAGGCACCATAAAACTCAAGCCTTGAGAAGTGGTGTAAGGCCAAAGTGCCTGGGAGCACTTAAAAGGGAAATATTAATTCTCATAAGAGTCTACAGAGAGCACGACTTATTTTTTATGTTTATTTTTGAGAGAGAGAGAGGAGAGAAAACACAAGCAGAGGAGGGGCAGAGATGGAGAGAGAGAATCCCAAGCAGGCTCCACACTGTCAGTATAGAGCCTGATGCGGGGCTTGAACTCACAAACCATGAGATCACGGCCTAAGCTAAAATCAAGAGTCAAACACTTCACCAACTGAGCTACACAGATGCCCCAAGAAAATGGCTTTGAAATGGTCCTTAAAAGGTTGACAGACTTCTCATAGATTGGAGAGCGATCCCAGAGACCGCCAAGTCCCAGAGGCTGATAGGACAGAGTGTGGGAGGGGAAGTTTCAGAATTGGTGTATTGGTGTGTGAAACTAGAATAAGGAGGGTAGGTGGGGCGAGATGGCGAAGAGCTTCTATAGCCATACTAAGTTGTTCTGAAGAAAATAGAGAGTTTTTGAGAATCTGGGGCAGTCAACATAATATATGTGTTGGAAATGAAGAAAAAGTGACATAGATATGGATACGCACACACACACACACACACGTATTGAATAGTATATAAGTATATGAATTAGAGCTTAACAGGAGAACTGCGCCAAGCCTTGAAACTGACAAACACATTGTAATTATGGGGTATCTGTGAGGTGTTCATGTTTACGACCAGGTCCTTACCTTAGAGGAACTTAGAATTTCCTTAGGGGACTGGGTAAAAGCTAATATATGTAAAATAGTTCCGAGATAGATTTGTGTGATTTTGTATCTTGAGAAAGGAGGGGTTGGGGTAGGTTGGAGATGTATGAGCCACTTGGTGAAGTAGGATACAAGAGAAACTAATTTAGCAACACAAAACACAGTATGTAAATAATTCATGAGTGATCAATTGAACTGGTCTTGAAAAAGCTCATTTAACATAAA